ATATACACACACACACACATATATATATATCCATTATATTAGTTTTAGGTGTGAACATAATGATTCGATATTTGTATATTTTGCAAATGATCACAATTCAGCCAACAGGCATCACCATACATAGTTACAAATTTATTTTGCTTGTGATGAGAACTTTCAAGATCCACTCTCCTAGCTATTTTCGAATATACAATACAGTATTACAAGCTATAGTTGCTGTGCTGTACATTATGTCCTCCTGATTCATTCATTTTATAACAGAAATTTGCACCTTTTTTACCCCCTTCAACCATTCCCCACCCCCTCCTGACACAGGCAACCACAATCTGTACTCTATATCCAGGAGTTCAGTTTCTGTTTGTTTCTTTTTAGATTCCATATGTAAGTGAGATAATACAGTATCTGACTTATTCAACTTACCATAATGCCTTCAAGGCCCATTCATGTTGTCACAAATGGCAGATTGAATTTCTTTTTTTATGGATTAATAATATTCCACTGAGTATATATACCACATTTTCCTTGTTCATCCATCAATGGACATTTAGGTTGTTTCTGTATCTTAGCTTTTGTATATAATGTTGTAGCAAACATGGGGATGCATATATCTTTTCGAATTAGAGTTCTCATTTTCTTTGGATAATACCCAGAAGTGCAATTTCTGGATCATATGGTTGTTCTATTTTTAATATCTTGAGGAACCGCCATACTATTTTCCATAGTGGCTACATTAACTTACATTCCCACCAACAGTGTCCAAGGGTTCCCTTTTCTCTATATCCTCGCCAACACTTGTTATTTGTTGTCTTTTTGATAATAGGCATTATAACAGACGTGAGGCGATATCTTGCTGTGGCTTTGATTTGCATTTCCCTGATGATTAGTGACATTGAGCATGAGCATCTTTGTTTTTTTTTTAGCTGAGCCATCCTGCCACCTGTTGGCAGCTCAGCTCGGACCGGACTTGAACCGCTGTTGCTCAGAGCTCAAACCTCTGAGCGAGCTCTTAACCAACTGAGCCACTCGCTGGCATGTTGAGCATCTTTTAATGTACCTGTTGACCACCTGCCTGCTTGTCTTCCTTGGAAAAATGTCTATTCAGATCCTCTGCCCATTTTAAAATCAGATTTTTTTTTGTATTGACTTGTATGAGTTCTCTATATATTTGTACAATATATTAACCCCTTATCACACATATGATTTGCATATATTTTCTTGCATTTGGTACACTGTTTTTTCATTTTGTTGATGGTTTCCTTTGCTGTGCATAATAATTTGTTTGATGTAGTCCTACTTGCATATTTTTGGTGTCAGATCCAAGGAATTACTGCCAAGACCAGTGTCAAGGAGCTTACCACCTATGTTTTTTTTCTAGTAGTTTTATGATTTCAGGTCTTATGTTCAAATCTTTAATCCATTTTGAGTTGATTTTTTCATATGGCATAAAATAGTGCTACAGTTTCATTCTTTGCATGTGGCTGTCCAGTTTTCCCAATATAATTTATTGAAAAGACTTTCCTTTCCCCATAGTATATTCTTGGCTTTTTTGTCATAAATTAATTAAACATATATGTATAGGTTTATTTCTGGGCTCTCTATTCTGTTCCATTGATCTGTGTCTGTTTTTATGCCAATGCCATACTGTTTTTTTTTTTTAATATTTCATTGGGGAATTGGGGGAGGGGAACAGACAAATTGCTTTCCTTTTGTTCTTCAGTCTAGTTGTGGAGGACGTGGCTTCACTGGCCCATGTTGGTATTATCACTGTGCTCTTCCTGGGTGAGGCAGATCGGTCGCCGGCCTCTGGACGGCTACTCACGGTGGCTCTTGGCAGCTCACACCAGCTGCTGGCCACACATGGTAGCTCATAGCAGCCCACTGCAGCAGGGGCTGCAGCCTATGCCGTCGCCGGCGACTCACGGCAGCCCAGCTCCAGGTCGAGCTGCTGCTCACCATCTTAGCTGTAGAGGGCAGTGTCACTGGCCCTCATGTGGGATCCGAACCCCGGCTCTGCTGCTCAGAGCTAGCGTCCCAAGCCAGCTCTTAACCAACGCGCCACTCGGCAGACCCAATACCATAATGTTTTTATTACTATAGCTCTGTAATATAGTTTGAAGTCAGGGAGCATGATGTCTTCATCTTTGTTATTCTTTCTCAAGATTGCTTTGGCTTTTGGGGGTCTTTTGTGGCTCCATACAAATGACTGTGAAAAACGCCATTGGAATTTTGATAGGGACTGCATTGAATCTCTAAATTGCTTTAGAGTAGTATGGACATTTTAACAATATTAATTCTTCCAATCCATGAGCATGGAATACTTTTCCATTTATCTGTGTCTTCCTCAGTTTCTTTTATCAGTGTCTTATAGTTTTCAGTGTACAGGTCTTTCACCTCCTTGGTTAAATGTATTCATAGGTATTTTATTCTTTTTGATGCAATTGCAAATGGGACTGTTTTCTTAATTTTTCTTTCTGATAGTTTCTATTTATTAGTATATAGAAACACAATAAATTTTTGTATATTAATTTTGTATCCTGCAACCTTACTGAATTTATTTATTAGTTCTAGCACTTTCTTTTTGGTGGAATCTTTAGGGTTCTCTATATATGGTATCATGTCATTTGCAAACAGTGACAGTTTTACTTTTTCCTTTCCAATTTGGATGCTTCTTATTCCCTTTTCTTNGGTGTGTGGAAGGTGTGCGGAAGAGGGGGTAGTCTTATACGGTGAGTATATAACAAACTCTGTATTTTGAGTGGAAATGTTAGGGGGTCGTCTTATATGCCCAGTCATCTTATACGCCGGCAAATACGGTATTAATTTTGTATCCTGCTACTTTATCAAACTCATTTATCAGACCTACTAGTTTTTTGGTGGAATCTTTGGGGTTCTCTCTATATAGTATCATGTCATTTACAAATAATGACAGTTTTACTTCTTCCTTTCTGATTTGTATGCATTTCTTTTCCTTGTCTGACTGCTGTGGCTAGGACTTCCAGTATTAGGTTGAATTAAAGTGGTGAAAGTGGACATCCTTGTCTTATTCCTGATCTTAAGGGGAATGCTTTTAGCTTTTTCCCATTGAGTATGATGTTAGCTGTGGGTTTTTATCTTATCATTTATCATGAAAAAGTACATGTATGTCATACATTATACATTTAAAGCCTTAATAATTCAGTCTCACCTTTGTTTCTAATTCAGAATTCTCTCTCTGTAGCAGGTTATAAGCTATTAAAAAATGATCTCTGTCTTCTGCTGCCCCTGGAAGACTTTGAATTTCATTATAAAGTGATATAAGTTCTGACTTCGATTTTTGCAATTCCTGATGAAGAAATGAAGATATTTAATGAATAAAATAAGACTTACCCCATAAAAGATTTAATATATCTAAAAAGGAATCTTTGAAATGATTCTGACAAATGTTTTAAATGTTTCAACCTATCTTCTGGCAGCGGGCTTCTTTCTTAGTAGTTAAAACAAAGGTTATTTAAAGCAGTTACTTAAACTGAGCATTTTTAATTTCTATCGTCCACAGGTTGAAAGCCTGGGTTTCTAGACTCATTCTGCTTTACCTAAGGCTTGTATAGAGGTGAATTCTTCAGCAGTTCCTGCATTAGTTATATTACCTGTTTTAAAATGTATCCTTTTAAAATGTTCCCTTTATAGAACAATGTGCTACCTGGTTTACCTTTAGTCCTATGACAACACCATGAAGTAGAGTTATTGAAACAGAGGCTCAGATAACTTAAGTAACCTGCCTAAATTCACATAGCCTGGAAGTGGTAAAGCTGAAATTCAAACTGTCTGACTGACTTCAAATCCTGTGTTCTTAATTACAAATTATGCTACCTAACTTAACAATGTATATTTAGTGACTTAATCAAGTAAGGTTTCTGCTAATCCTCTCACTTCTCTTTCCATGAGAGAAAACACTTTAGTTAGGCATAGATTTTTAAAAATCAATTTTCTACAGTGATGACATGGAATATACTGTTTGACTGGTGAATGACAGACCTCAGAGACAGTCTGTGGTGCTCTATGAAAGGAACAGGTGATATAAAATTTACTTTAGGAGAGGAGTTACTTGGTACTTTTCCAAAGTCTTGAGATCAAAGAAGGAGGAGAATGTTGATAAGGAAGGCATTAGGCAAAAAGGAGAGAAGGTAAGGAGTTGCCACCCCAAACCACAGGAAGAGGGCAAGTAGTATCAATTTCCTACCTCATTTCATCAAATATTCCCATAGATCCTTCAGGACGGGATTTAGGCCAATGAACAGGCTTTTGCCCACCCTGCAAACTGATTAAATGTTACCGTCCTCTACATTGGTGATCTAAACGTCCATGAACTCACTTCTAGGTCTCTTCTCCAAATAAAGGCTGGTTATATCTATGACCTTTCCAAGATGACAGGACAAGCAGTTAAGAGGAGACATGAGTCCATGACTCTATGACTGCCATAATAATCACTTCCTATTTAAAGGACTGTTCTTGGCTAGTGCTAGAACTCAACTTGGGGAAACAACAGTCACCCCATTATTACTAATAGAAACACATATTCTATAGCTACAATTTACTTTAAAATCAAAATAAATGATAACATGAAATCCTTAAATTAGAAATGCAAAAAGAGGAAAATAACATCCTAAATGGCAAAATACTGGTACCTCATTATCAACTTTCAAATCCTTCTGTAGAGTATTAAGATCAGATGTCAATTGCTTTCTCCCTTCTCTCTCTTCTGACAACTCACTTTCAAATATTTCAATTTTTTCTTGGCTCATTTTCAATATCTGCAAAAAGTATTTTTTATATAATTAATTATATATATAATAAATTTCCTATAAATTCTGATATTTTTCTTCCTAACTCAATTATAAAGTCATCTAGAGGAGATAGAAAGCTAGGAAAACTAGTTCATGGTACCATAGCTCATAAGATACAGTTTTCTTTCCAAACCTGTTTTCTCAACAATAAATGGAGCAAATACTTGTCCTATGTACATCAGAGCCATAAGAATTGGAGTAAAACATGATTTTGAAGTATTTTGTTAAGTTTAATCACCTACCAAATATAAGGTATTATTAAAATCTTACGATGATAATAATTGCAAAAATGATAGTAGTTACTCTTTAGTGCTTACCATATGTCAGATTACAGTAAATGCTTTGCATGCATTATCTCATTTTGTTTTCCCAGGATTCCTATGAGATTGTAACTATTATTACCGTATTTTGCCATGTATAATGCGCACCCACGTTTTTGGCCCAAACTTTCAGGAAAAAAATCTTTTGTTTTAATTTTTTAATTCAAAAAATTATTATTTTTTTTAAATATTTTTATTGGGGAATTGGGGGAAGCAGAACAGACAAGTTGCTGTCCTTTTGTTCTTCAGTCTAGTTGTGGGGGACGTTGCTTCACTGGCCCAAGTTGGCACCATCATTGTGTTCTTCCCGGGCGAGACAGATCAGTCGCCGGCTTC